CCCAACTACTCAAGCCACACTTGCTTTTTCCTATCAATCCTTTTTCAGTGGAATCTTCCACTTTTTCATACGGTAACCATTTTACCCGGCTCAGACAAACTTTCCACTTAATCAAAAAGTGAAGAGATGACAGGAAGCTCAAAAAGGTTATGAGATGTGATGCCACTTCGATTATAAGAGTCATGCTAAAAGCAGACGGATGTAGTACAGTGGGGGGGTTACTTATTTCTACCCACGGAACCAGTCCACAATGGCAGCTTTTGCCCTACCAACTATCCCTGTGTTCTTGCCCAAGAACTTCTGTCATTGTATCGTAATTTTGGACCGGTTGGCTGGAAACGTTGTATATGTGACAAAAATGGTGGGTTATCCCTCAAGCTGGCTTTAGGACTCCAGACTATTACTGGGGTTAGAATTAAATGCAACAGTACGTGGTAGAAAGCACATTCTCGTGGACAGTGGGCATGCAATGGTGTCAATCTCGGGTGTCATCTGTATAGGTGAACCAAACCCTTCATTTGTTCGGGGTCAGTTGAGTGGTAACAGACTCGTCCATGACACCAAAAGCACTGACTTGCACAAGCCGCTACGTCTCTGAAGGGAAATCGAATGTGGAGCACGTTCCAAAAAAACTTCATTTTCCATCCTGGTAATTGTGGACCACGTATGACAGCCCTCAATTCCCAGGTCGAAGGAAGAAAAATAGCCTTTTGACTTTTGAAAAAACTCCTCTCGACTAAATAAACTAAATAAACCTAAAATTTGGATGCACAATGGTTGACGAGTGTTGCCAACGATCAATCTCCGAGCGAAAGGTCCACGTGAAAACGAAAGCCACCATTGCGCCCGCACAACAATGGACATATTCAAAAACCCTTCGGAAACGTGCATACTTGAGAGCCCTTTTCACCCGCACAATCCCTCATGAATGAAAGCGCTTGCATTTCTCCTTTGTGTCTTTTCAATGCTTTGGATGATCGAAAAAGCTATTCCCTTGTGTGCAAGACGAAAGCTTTTGGCTCAAATCGATCGCTATCTCCGTAGCTTAGCTTCCGTTGAACATTCCGCCCTCATTATTTGCTTAGCGAATGGATTACATTTTTTTTTGCCTCACACAACACTGAAAGTATAAAACAATATTGCAAAGACGCCATGTACTCCGTATTTTTCTGACGCCGATTCGCCCACTAGCGTTTCTCGCTTTTATACAACACCTACACGAAGAGGGGGTAACACAGTGGGGCGTCACTAGCTCCCGTAGGTGTGAAGACCGAATCCTGGACTGGGAATATTCATAGTAGTACAGGTAGGCCAACCCAACCTTTCATTCTTTCGTGGTCACAGCTCATCAGTACCTGTACAGAGGCAAACGAAGGCTCTACGTATGTACTACCCACCCATCACAGAGCCCCTTCATCTGATATATTAATAAAAACTCCTTCTACAAGTCGGTGCTGTAATGAAAGGAAATCGAATGCGTGGGAGTGTCACGTCGTGACCAAATTCCCTTCCTGTTCGTTCTCGCCCGATCGAGAACGAACGGGAACGGAGTTTGGCCACGACATGACATGGTGCATCGGTGGTTCAGTGGTACGATGCTCGCCTGCCACGCGGGCGGCCCGGGTTCGTTTCCCGGTCGGTCCAGGAAACGAACCCGGGCCAATTCTCCTGCCCGTCCGTTCTCGCATCGGGTCCGATGCAAGAATGAACGGGAAGGGGTTTTGGCCACGGCGCGACAGGGAGCAGCTTGGATAAGGACCAATCAACGCTTGGATTTCAGCCCCTTCATCAGGTGGCTTCTCTCTGCCCTTTCTGAAGCGTTTTGAGGACAGTCTCCGTCTGAAGCCTGAGTGCAGCGTGATGTAATTGGCCGTGTCTGGTCGAAGAGATGATTAGCAGCATTTTTCTGATGAAAATCGTCTGAAAAGAAGCAGTGCTGAGGACAACATTGCTGTGCCGATTCGCTCTAGCTTTTGAGTTACTGGCCGACATCGTCACCGGTGCGTATTCGATATACTGTCTATCAAAGCACTCCTGCCTACTCCGTAAGACGTTAGTTAGTTCAGTTTCATCGGGCGTTGCGTTCAACTTACCCAAAAGCAGCACGTGGGAAGAAAAAGGGGAAATATCGGGGCATCAGGTTGGCGGTACAGATTGTTACATGACGTGGAGTGACGAAGCTAGGTCCGGTAGTCGTCTCAGGATCCCTCTTCATCGTCATTTCAAGACCACTTCACCATCAAAGTATGAAAAAAGATGGGCCTCGGCACGGCTGATAACTAGTTACAACTAGGGCTCAGGGTGGTAGTATCTGCCGACCCCTACCCCTCTCAGCCTCAGGGTTTGTACTATTAGGTCAAGGCGTGAATTAAAGCATGTGACGACCGGCACATTTGTTCAACAAATGTCAAGCGGAAACCGCTTCAAAGTCAAGGTGTGACCGGTTTTCCCACGCCACACAAGAAGGACTCCTACTGCACTTTATCACATCCTCCAGCTACTACAAGAAGATACAAAGACGTTGATAATGGTTTGAAAGGCAGGCAAGGCAATTGCGTAGCATGCCAATCGGCGAAATTGTAAACGTTCTGTTCTCTAAAGAAAGAAGNCAAGGTGTGACCGGTTTTCCCACGCCACACAAGAAGGACTCCTACTGCACTTTATCACATCCTCCAGCTCCTACAAGAAGATACAAAGACGTTGATACTGGTTTGAAAGGCAGGCAAGGCAATTGCGGAGCATGCCAATCGGCGAAATTGTAAACGTTCTGTTCTCTAAAGAAAGAAGGAAACCTCTTTTACTGACCAAGAATTTTCAGCTTTGAATGAGGTGAAGATATCACAGAAACGTCATAAGCCGCACAGCGACGTTCATGGAAGCCTTCAGATCAGATCCTTCCAGCCTTTATTGCTGCAACCACACTAAGGTCCATTTTGATACAGACCTTGACAAGCCTGCTGAAAGAACCTTCAAGGACTTGGGATCGCAAAGGAATTACATCTTGCTAACGTTGAGTGCACTGCCCTTTTCTCTTCCCCTTTGTACTTTCATTAAGCCATCTATTCCAGGCATTTGCCTAAATCCATTCCGCTCGATTTGTCTGCCGTCGCCGCTAATGAATCAGGAATGAGACAGCGTTGGTTTCCTAATTACTCAATCATCCTCTTTAGGTTTATTTTCAATTAGGCGAACCTAAATAATGCAAAAAAGCGATTGTTGTTTACTCAATAGCAGAAAACGATCGTTTTCATCGTAAACATAGTCAGTGGATGAAGCTAAAGCTGAAGGTCGGGAAAACAGGAAATTAAGATAAACAGGGCGGAGGTGGTGCCGTGACAAATGGCGCACTGTCACACACGTATGTTCACGGGTTCGAATCCCGATTCCCGAATTCGCCTGGGCCAACTGAGCCCTCCATCCCTCTCGGGTCGGTTAATGGGTACCAGACTTGTCTGGGAGGATAAAAGCACTGACCTGTTCACCGGCTGGCCTAAGGAAGCCATTGTATAGGCCACATACGCATTCAATACGCCACACTTTTCTGCATGGAAGTCGAAAGCAGACGGGATCCAATCTATGGAATTAATTACGGCCAGCAACTTCAACTTTTGCCCTTTTGGCTAAAAAACTACCCTAGGCCTTATGCACTTTCTACTCCCATTCAGCGTTGTAGACATATGTAGGTGTAATGGATGGATTTGTACTATTAAGTAGCTTTCAGATGCTTTATTCCTAATGAAGGCCTATGTAAGTTCAACTTGTTTCTAGGATTACACTTAAAGTTGCCAACATTTAAATACTCTCAACTAATTATAAGAGCCCCTCTGTTTAGATCTGTTTGGCTCAGATTATTTGGGCACCAAATCGAAAACGGAAACAGGTTTCCCATTAGTGTCGGGGTGCTTGCCCAATATCTATCGCATGAACTATCTTGAAAAATAAATTCAAATTTCCTCCTAAAATGTTCTGGAAAACCCCGTAGAAATACTATCGAAGGCCCATGTTTACTTCTAGGCGCATAACATGCGAATATTTTTGATGTTATCGCAAAGGGTCGACATCTCATGTCACTGTCAGTGTCTGAGTCTCATCTTAGACTTTTATTTGTTTTGGAAATCAAAACGTTGGAATGAGCGCTCAGAAGGGCTTCGAAACCAAGTAACTGGCACAAGTTTTCATGGGCTTCAACAGCGTACTGCCCGGATTCGAACTTGTAAAGAGGTAAGAGTCGAATACGCCAGTTCCGACATTACAGGGTTAAAGACATTGCTAGTCACTTCGGAACTCCAATTTCCTTCGGAAAAGCGGAGCCTCTGCTTCCCCCGAAACCAAAGATTGGTCAGCGGCCATCAGTTTTCTCTCTTTGCTAATTCTTCCATAATTTTGGTCACAAAGACCAGCATACACACAAAACATTTACCAAACCAAATCTCTTCCATCCTTTTGATTTCCTGTATGCCAGTGTCTAGCCAAAGAGGAAAAGCCCTATTATGGTGGTCGTTAGCAACACAAACAAACCAATCTGTGCTTTGCATTTCTGCTTCACTACACAGCTGCCATTTCTTCGCCCTCGGATTTTGGCCTGACGAGCGGTTTTTTTTTTCTATTACCACTTTTTATGCAACACAGCTGAAATGCCACCATTTCTCGTCTTCTCCTTGAAGAGCGTCGCCTTTCAGAACAAGCAATAGACAAGGACAGTCGTTGAGATTTTTAGTGTTCGAAAATAACGGAATTCGAGGCTCATACCTTTTCAGTAATGAAAACTTTTAGTGGAAGTTTCCGAACTGAGAACGTTTATAAGACCCACCCTCAACAGGTGTACGTTCTTATATCCGATCCCAGGCAGGCACGCTCTGTGAACAGGAAGATTTGGATTTGGGATATTAGGTACTTGCCGCAACCCGGGAATGAAAACCGCCACCCACTCTCAACGACCACCCAGGAAGACCCCTTTACCTATTGACGCCCAACACTGCTTTTTCATATCGTACCTTGACAGCAATCTGTCATCTCATTACACTTCAAATTTAAATTAACCGACTTAATCATGAAATAATTGGACACTTCCTGAATGGAAAGAGATAGTCCATTTCCCCAGAGGACCCAACCATGCCAATGCCTTCAATAGTTCGAAGAAAGTCGACAAAATTCCCAATGAGAGCAGTGTTTCCCTTTTGCGACGCCTACTGCCAATTTCCCAGCTAATTTTTGTGCATTCATTTCATTTCCTTTCCGCCTTACATTCTGCCTACTTCCATTTGTATGCCTGGTCAATCATCACCGACTGGAGCCATCAGCCCCCATACACGTGGGTATCCAATTAGCTTTTCAGCTTCTCCTAAACTCCCAAGCCCAAGAGATCGATAATGTGGGAGTATAACGACTAAAAGTGAGCATTTCTCTGACTTTTAAAAGCTACCTATCCTTTTGTCCTATCCTATCTTGTGCTACTTTCGGAAATTTTGAAAGATAGTTAAATTAAACAAATAAATAACAAAAATCCGAGATTTCGACAGAATCGTGCCATGGTTGATAGTCTTACCGATACAATCCGCGACTTTTACGCCAATTTGAAACGAAAATCGATTTCGATCTATAAACTGATCAATAAGTAGAGTTTATTGATATGCTACTAAACATGAAGTATCTCAACTAATCGATCAAGGAAGAACTTAAGGTGTAGTTGGTAATGACAGAATACAATTCATGAACTGAGTAAATGTAGTAGCACCTTATTCCTTAATCCTACCGTGTCAGGAATACTTCAAAAATTTTCATATGGAGCACAAAACACAACAACAACTTGTATTTACTGTAGTAACACGGACACACTAAGCGACATTGTAACGGAATACTCTAGAAAATAAATGGACAAAAGCAACAGTACACATATTATAGTTCCATTAGATGATCATTAGAGTATATTGACAAAAACATGAGAACATTCAGAACAGATGACAAAACAACACAAAACCATAATTCAGAAACAACGCGCAACGGAGTAGCTTTCAACTACCAGCCTCTTCAGATTCAAAAAAAACCATGACCCCACCACAGCTATTTAGAACCGCTGCTGATACTTGTCATAATCGTAGCGCACACCGCTTGATGCTCCCCCTGTGCTTCCAAATGATGCCCAACCACCAGGTCCTAAAACACCGAATTCAGTTATTCAAGTTAACCCTGAGGATCTCTAGAGCTCGACTGATCCGATTTCACTGACCAGCTGCTCCTCGAGTCCATGATGATGTGCTGCTCGAATGACCACCTAATCCAGATCCTCCACCGCTTACCCAAGTTGAAGATGAACCATAAGTTGGTCCTAATTGATAGAGTTAGGCAGTTATTGAACAGCAACACTGGAGACATACTAAGTCTAGAGCAGTACAGCAATTGCTTCAAGACCCTTTTTAACAGAAATTGACAAAAACCGAATATGCTCTAACCCATTGACTACGTAAAAAAAACAACAACATCAAAGACCGGGTCTTGCAGCGCACTGCAGTCCTCCTGACGTAGAATCTCTCCAAGAATAAATTTCCTCCACCAGTAATAAGAATAGGGAAAATATAGGAATCAATTAACTTACTTGCGCTTGCACTGTAAGCATCCCTGCTGGTTCCGTAATACGACGAGCTCCCTCTACCGTTGCTGTACGAATGAGTGCCACTAAAAAGAAAACAATTAGAAAGTTCGTAGTCGAAATGAAAAACCTAAAACCTTACCGTGAGGAAGCGTACGCACGATCGTATTCCTTGGTAGTTGTTGCGTACGACGCAGGTCTTGTTGAGCGGCTCGACGTTCCGTAAGACTCATGGCGACTTCGTTCACGACCTGAAATGTATTCTTTCAGAAGCGAATTCGGCACAAGTCGGAAGACTTACTTGCAGCCCCTGAAGCTGTGTGCTTGTGCTCTGAGCGATCACGATCAGCCCTGAAAGTTTGGGATTTGTACTGCACTGCAGAAGCTCGACTATGAAGAACTTGTTTTATAACAAACCTGTCAGTGCTTCCTCCACGACGAGAACGCGATTCTGTTGTGCTCCTGTGGGTATCAGCTACTGAACGATGATGGGACGTTGATGAACTGATCTTCTCTGCCCTACTGTCACGAGACGAGCGATATTCTGCATGTCGAGATCCACTGTGCAAAAATACTGTTATAATTATGGAAATCAATAACCAATGGTTCCAAGAGATCCTGTAGTATGTTGACTGACGCCGACTTAGGGACAGGCGGAATTAGTTTAGAAACACCATGGTGCTTTCATCGTTCCACGGTACTTGATGCGGAAACTAATGAACCTTGCGATAGTTGTGCACTCAATCCGTATATATATTTGTGAAATGTTGTGTTGTGAAATGAGGATAAATATTTTCAGTTAA